TTCAAGACTCTTCTCCAGCACCACAACTCTAAGGCATCTTCTTCTTCTGACCTCCTTAGTCATTGTCCAGCTGTCTGACGCATAGCAAGTAATTGCGAAGACCATGGCCTGGATCAGGCGCACCTTAGTCTCAAGGCTGACATCATTGCTTCTGTCCTTATCCATTTCTAAAAGGAGCCCTGGTTGTGCAGTGGTTTGGCATTTGGCTGTTAGCCAAAAGCTGGACCTTTACTTCTGCAAAGACTTACAGTCCAGGAAGTCCTACCTGGTGGGTGTTCTCTATTCTGCAGACACTGTGAGAGTGACTCCGGTGACAGAGTCAGTAAGGAGCTGTGCTGTTAACACAAAGATCATGCTTCCCTCATGATTTGGATCCGCCATCATTGAGTAGCAGCATCTCGTGTCATTCCTCAAAACTATTAATCCCATCACCAGTAGAATTCTCTTAGTCTGGACATCAATGCGTCTGTACACCACGGAGCTCTGGTGGCGTGATAGGTAAGGGCTTGTGCTGCCAGCACAAAGGCAGTCAGTTCTAATCCACCAGCTGCTTCCCGAGAAAGATGGGCAATCTCCTCCTGTGCAAATCCCCTGGAAACTCGATGGAGGCTGAGCCATGAGTTGGTTCTAACTTGAAAGCAATGAGTTGGTCTTGGTAAAAAGTCTCTGTATGTTAGGATAAACGTGACGGGGATGGATTTGGATTTTGTTTTGGTGTACCCATTACCTAGCCCGTAGGCTTCTCCAACTCTGTCTTATATCCTAACACACCACTACCCATAATAACCCTGCTATCCCCAAGACTCACCAAAGCAGAGCAGAGACAGGACCTGGGGGATGGTGGCAGCCTTTTTCAGTCCCTTCCACTGATGTTGCTTCAATCTTCGTATCTGTGTTACTCCAAACATCCTGCAGACCCCAGAATATGCAGTAACCGCTTTGCTCCAGAGTGTTAGTTCTCTACACCTCCACACCCACAGTTTCTCAAAGTCCTGGTCAGGAAATGGCTCATTGTTACGACACCCTTTCAAGTCACCAATGGGTCTAACTCACAAAATCTTTATCTAACACAGAGTTTAGACTCTCTCATCATAAAGCATATCTAGAGGATTCAGAAGAAAAACAAATATGGAAGATACTGCTTGGGATATGTATGAAGTACATTTTAACGGATATATTTCCTCTACAGAGAAAAATTCACAGGTTTTTAAATTTTATTTTATTATTTTTTTTGTGTGTGTACCGTCAAATCAGATCTGACTGGTACAGGAGGAGATTGTCCCTCCTTCCCCGACAGAGCATCTGGTGGATTCGAACCGTGCGCCTCTGGGATTGTAGTTGCAGCTAAATTCACAGTTTTTATCTTATGCTGACTCCACTCAACAGATACACCTCCAGAGGCTAAAAGGCAAGGCAGATCTGAACTCTGTAACCTGATCGAAGGTCTTTGCCTCTTTACAACTCACTGCCTCGTCTTTGTAATGTTGGGTTCAACTCAGCTGTCTAAGCTTCTTTCGAAAGTTAAAAAGAAAAGTTGCGTGAAGACTTAATTTCTCTTATGGTTTAGTAACGGTGGTGGCTTAGAGGTAAGGAGTTGCGCTGTCCACCCAAAGGCATGTGGTTAGAATCCACCAGCTGCTCTGTGGGAGAAAGATGTGGCAATGTCCTCTTGCAGATTTACAGCCTCTGAAACTTCTCTGGGGTGCCAGCTTCTTGTCTATTCTGACTTGATGGTACACAACAACAACAACAAAAACAACACAACTTAATATTTCACTGAAGTACTAGAATTGTGGTGCCGGCAGAGAGAATATGAAATATATTGTGAAGTGCCATAAGTATAAGCAAATCTGTTTTATAAATAGATAATAGACATATATGTTGAGATGGGTGAAAGGAGTGATTAACGTGGTTTCACTAAAGAAAGGAAAAGTGCAGAGAGGGACAGAAGGATTAATGGAAAGCAGAATTAGTGAGAGGATGCGAGAAAAGTGTGATTACGTTGAAGTGTTGAAATGAATATGAAAAGACAAAATATGCCTGGGTGGTTGAATAAAAAATTACCTTGCTTTGTAAACTTTTAGTCATGTCACAGAAATTACTTTGCTTCCTAAACTTTTAGGCACAACACAATTTAAAAATGAAAGAGAAAGAAACACATTCATCTGATTCCTCTCCTCCTGTCTTTTCCCATCTCATTTCCTTCATTTGTTTTTCATATGATTATCACAAAGATTGTCATCAAACTCTGCAATTGTACTCCTAGGCTGACTGACGCCAAGGGGACTTGAAAGCAGAAATACAGACATTTGTACACCAATGCTTGTGGCAGCCTTATTCACAAAAAGTGAGAAGAACCAACATGTTCTACAGTGGATGGATGGATGGATGGATGGATGGACGAATGGAAGGATAACAAAATGTGGGCTGTACACACAGTGGAAAACAACGTCTTGGATCAGACTTCCAGTGAGGACAGATCAGAGTGTCAGGGTGGGTAATGTTGCACACACTGAGATTCTTCTGTTAAGGGGAAGATGTTGTCATCACCGATGGCTTCTTGTTTGTTTCCTGAGTCAGTTCTGAGCAGGAAACTGTGCACCAGGCAGTGCAGAGACCCAAAGTCTCTGAGCTAAAACTCTCCCACCCATCCTGGAGGCAAAGAGAGCTGACGGGGGGCCTTGAATCACTCCAGACTCACTTCTTCCTCTGATCCACAAAGTTGAAGTCAAGATCTGGGTTCGGAAGAGATAGTATGCTTAAAGAATTCCTGCTTTGCCTTGGTGAGTCCCCAATGGACTGGATGTGGAGTGGGATTTAAGGGGGAAACATGGCAAGGAAAGATATGATGATGTCCAGGAATTAGAAATGTAGAAAATACCAGAGTGTGGGGACCAATGGTGGCTGGGTGACAGAGTGCTCACCTCTTATGTGCGAGGACCCCGGTTCAGTTCCCAGCCTCATGTGTGGCCCCCTTCTGTCAATGAAGGCGTGAGTGTTACCCTAATGCTGGACAGGTTTCAGGGGACCTACCAGACCAAGGTGGACTAGGAAGAAAGGCTGGACATTCTATTCCCTAAAATCAGATGATGAAAGATCACGGTGGTCTAGTTTCCAGGAGATCATGGGAATGGTGAAGGATCGGTTAGTATTTAGTTTCTTTGACCATGGAATCCCCACGGGGAAGGGGCTGACTGAAGCATAGCCAGTAACAATAGCACTTGGTTGGGGTTATTCAGTGCATTGTAGGATGCTTGGCCACAAGTCTGGTCAGCTCACTGTAGCCAGGAAATTAAAAGACGAATTACATTGGGATAGGCTGCTGTCAGATATCTCGCCAAAGTACTGAAGAGCAATGATGTCAGTCTGGAGACTAAGGTGCGCCTGACACAGGCCATGGTCTTTGCAATCACTTGCTATGCATCGGAGAGTTGGACAATGACTAGGGAGGACAGAAGGAGAGTTGATGCCTTTGAGCTGTGGTGCTGGAGAAGAGTATTGAATGTACCATGAAGTGCCAGGAGAACAAACAAGTTAAATTATTTTTGCCTTATTTAAGCGACTAAGGTTAAAAACTACTACTATTTACAGAAAATTTGAAAACAAAGCGTAGGTAAATATTGAGCATTTTCTAGATGATGATGGAAGAGCGGATCATGAAAGCAATATGATAAATCAGAAAAGATGGGTGGAATTTTCTGTCAAATCTTCACAACTTCTGAATGACGAAGTAAAAGGTAACTTTCGGACCATCCTTGCAAAGAGTATGACATTTCTTTAACAGAACTACCCAAGCTTTGTCTGCCTTATTTGGAGCCTTGAAAGAAGCCAGTGATCTGTATCTCATTGAGGTTTCTCTTACAGGACTGTGTCTGGGTTATCAAGATGAGAAAAAGGATGGTGAGTTTTTTTTTCTTTTTCTTATGCTTAAACTCAGCTATATCCTGAATTCTAACTTTAAGGACATACCTGTGTAAGTCGGGCAACGAATGAGAGAGACTGAGGAAAAGTCGATGCCTTTCAATTTTGATATTGGCACAGTATGTGGAATGTGTCCTTGATTGTCAAAAGAACAACTATATCTTGGCAGAAGTGCAGACAGAGATCTTTTTAGAAGTGAGGATAGAGTGAGTTTTGATTTGCATTTCTCTCATTGCTAGAGATTTGGAGCATTTCTTCATGTGTCTGTTTGCCATTCGAATAATATCTTCCTCTGTGAAAATTCTTTCCATCTCGTTTGACCATTTTGT